ATACCTAACAGCCGACCCGCATTTGCTAACGCTCAGTGGCCCTCTGGCCATTCAAATATTCCCAATTAGCATTCAGAGATTCAACCCGCACGAGGAGCTCAGCCAGTTTATCACCGAGCCTTCCGTCCGCGCCCGACTGTGCATTTATTCACGGTCCTCATCCCGATACCCACAACCCACTTACGGGCCTAAATTAACACACTCCGCTGACAAATAACACAGCAGGTTTCGGGGCTTGGCTCAGTAAGTTACGCCATCGCAATGGGGTAAAAAAATAAATAAATCACAATTTATGGCTTCCAAACCAACCCAGCCACTTATAAGGCTGTGATTTAAACACACCGCAGATAAAGCAAACTCGGGGGTTGGCAGGAAAGCGGAACGCCAGTCATTCAATCCTACCGTGACGTGCCACGTTCCTCGTGGTTTCATTTGTGAAAACTGGGGAGGGGAAGGCAGAACCCCTTCCCCCCTTTTGGCGGAAGGCTTCAAGCAAGCGTGATGACCTGGGGCAAAGGCACAGAGGCAACACAGTCAGCTGATAATTCAAATCGTCCCCTTTATTGCTCCAAATTTCCCCCGAACGCTCCCATGTTATGGCAAGTCCCAGAGCAAAGTGCTCTCTCTCTCTCTCTCTCTCATTCTCTCTCTCTCTTTCTCTCTCTCACACACACACACACACAAAACCTCCAGCAGCCTCTGGCTACAAGCAGTCCAGCAAAACGACTGCAAAGTAAGTAAATCCCGCGGGGCAAGGAAGTAAGTCAATGAGTCCAGGAAGCAAAGGAACAAGGCAGCGATTTCAGGAAGCAAGAAATAAAATCGCAAGAAGTCCAGGAATCTCCAAACGCCGGCAACGGCACACAACACTCCATGAATTTACTGTTTGTGCCGGACAAACGCCCCTCCCAACAGCGTCTCCTTAAAGTTCAGCCCCCAGGTGTGCCTTGTGAAGAGGGGCGGGGCGCTCTCCTCCCAAGTATTCGGGTTAGCCTGCGCTGTTCCTGCCTTCTTTCCACTCTCCGTGCTCACAGATCAGGAGGGGGCGGTCCTTGCTCATCGCCTGAGCTCCGCCTGTCTTCCTTTCCACCGCTTGCCCTCTCTCGGTCATCCTTCCCCCATTCCTCTCCGCTTACAAGCCGTCCCACTCCTGGGGGGCACTAGCCTGCCTCTTCCCCACATACCTCCAAAGCCAATGAAACTGCCCCCTTGGTCTCCCTCGACTCCAGCTCCAGCTTGTCTTCCTCTGCAGACTCCGACTCCGACGGGGACATGACAGCAAGTCCTCGCGCAACGTTTACCAAGTCTTAAACACGAGCTTCTCCCCTCACCCCGTTTTGCAAGTCCTGCTATGTTGCCTCACGACAGATAGTCCTCGACGTACGACCGGAGTTGAGCCCAACATTTCTGTTTGCTGAACAAGACAGTTGTTAGCTGAGTTACGTCCCGTTTGACGAACTTTCTGGCCACCGTTGTTAAGGGGATTGCTGCGGCTGTTAAGTTAGCAACAGGGTCGTTCGGTGAACCTGGCTTCTCCAATGGCTCAGCAGAAAGTTACAAAAGGGGGAATCGCATGACACACACCCCGGGACGCTGCAACCGTCATAAGTGCGAGTCAGCTGCTAAGTGTCCAACTTTGGATCCCCTGTCTATATTTATGATACAGGAGAGAATACAGCCTTCAGGACATCCTAGTGCTGATGTTGTCATGCAGGAAATGAACATCCGAATATTGGATGAAAATACATGGTTGGAGAAGATGATCAAGCAATAAACAGATCTGAAACCAGAAATATTTTTGATGGGTATAATGCCGGAAGGATATGATAAAAGGACTATATACCTATTTTTGCATGTATTGGCAGCAGCGAGGATTGTATTTGCACAATACTAGAAAAATGAGAACGCTCCACCAGATGAGGATGTAATTCGGAAACTATTAGACTGTGCCAAGATGGATAGATTGACATTAAAAACAAAAGACGAAGAAGACTCAGAATATTACTTAACATGGAATAGATTTCACGAGTGGTTAGAGATAAGAGGTGGAAATTAGATAAAGAAAGATTATTGCTATGGATGAACTAAATATAAAGAAGGTTTATAGTTATAAATATGCCAATATAATCAACAGAACTACAAATCAGCTAATATAAAGAAAAATCTAGGCAAAACTATTCTGTTACTCTATTACTATTGTTATTAATATTTATGTTAATATCCTTTGTTCTTTGCTTTTCATGTAAATGATACGTCCTGACAATACACTATTTAAAATGTGTGTATGTGTGTGTCTCTGTCTCTCTCTCTCTCTCTCTCTTTCTCTCTCTCTCTCTATATATATATATATATGTTTTCTGAGGTTCTCGCAGGTATTTGTATGTGGATCTTTGGTTATTCGGGTTTTCTCCTGCATAAGATTGGAAGTATCTAGGCAACGTTTCGATGAAGTCTCATTCATCATCTTCAGGCTTCTGTCTTCGGCTCTGTGCTTCTCAGAGTGAAGCACAGAAGCACAGAGCCAAAGACACAAGCCTGAAGATGATGAATGAGACTTCATCGAAACGTTGCCTAGATACTTCCAATCTTACGCAGGAGAAAACCCAAATAACCAAAGATCGATCGATCTATCTATCTATCTATCTATCTATCTATCTATCTATCTATCCACACACACACACACACACACACACACACACACAGCATTCAGCTTTGTTCGGGTATTTTCCCACGTCATTGTAGTTGTGCTTTTAAAGTTGTAGCAACGTTTCGGCAGAATCTCATCTGCCATCATCAGGCTTCCGTTTAGTGACTGTTGGAAGTGACGGAAGCCCCCTGGGAAAAGTGACGGAGGACCGTTTTTCACACTGAGGTTCGTCACCGCGTCCCCAGGATTCACACAAACAAAATTCAAGTGCTTGGCCACTGACTCGTGTTTATGACGGTTGCAGTGTCCCAGGGTCATGTGATTCCCTTTGGCGAAAGGGAGAAAGTTGGATTCGTTTAATGGCTGTGTTACTAGTGTCAACTCGTAAAATATTTCTCTGGTCTTTTTAGAGTTGCCAACAGAGAGGGAGCGAGGAGCAGTGCGGCAGCTTGGAAATCAAAAGTGCATTCCATAAATGTTTTCAAAGATAGTAACTAGGTGGCTGAAGTTTCAGCCGGGCAAAATTCTAACTGGAGAGCCTGATTGAGGACTCTGGGCTATGGAGGTGTCCCATTGGAGAATATGAATTAGGATACACCCAGGGGGGTGGGGGGAAACCAGGGTCAAGGGTGACAGTGAATGATGTGCCTCAGAGTCAGCTGCACCCAGGCAGTGCCGGCATGTTAACTCCCAATAAATCTTTTGGAAGTGTTGGAAGTTTGGCTCGAGACTCGTGATTTAATTGGGGTAATCCTGACAAACAGATTAACAGCTGCAGGGATGGACTTCACAACTGTGGCGCGAGGGATTGTAAAATGGGAGGGAAACACATTTAACAACCACCTTGCTAGCAATGGAAATCTTGGGCTCATAAAGCAAGGACTACCTGTGGTACGAATTCAATACACCTACTTCGGATGGACAAAAGCTTAGCTTTGTTTAAAAAAAAAATCCTATCTGGTTGGATGGGAAGAAGTGAGACCAGCTGCAGCCAGGATGAAAGCTATCAACTGCCAACGCTACACCCCGGCTTGCTTTTCAGCCCGTCCACCGGGCGACCAGCCAGGTCAATTCAACAGCTCGCCAGTGTGGTTGGAGGCATACAGAAGGGATGTGGACTTCAGAAATGTTGCATTTGACCTTTGAGGTGAAACCAAGGAGGGAGGGAGGGAGAAAAAGATAAGGGAGGGAGGGAAGGAAGGAAGGAAGGAAGGAGAGTAGAGAGGGGAGAGGAGCTAGGTAGGTAAAAAGGGAGGGTGGATGGATGGATGGAAGGAAGGAAGGAAGGAAGGAAGGAAGGAAGGAAGGAAGGAAGGA